AGGGGAAGGAGGGGAGGGAAGGGAAGGGAAAAGTAGGGAAGAGAAGGGTTCTTGGGGGGACGCGGGGGTAGGGAGTGTGGAGGAGGGGCCTGCTGAGGCCTGATATAGACTCAGATATGGTCACTTCTGAAACATTCAACAAAGTCTGGCCTTCTGAGGGGAGACACAGAAGCAGACTCACTGGTCAAGGGAAGGAGGGGATGCCCTGGAACGAGCCAGTGCCTTCACCTGCAAGGGCTGCTAAACCTCCAAAAACAGGAGACTTCTGTGTTCACAAGCTATTCCAATAAAAGAAGTGCAAACATCTCCCCAGACTCTTTATAACACCAGACAAGGAAAGTGGAAAGTGTCAATTCAGTCTCCCTTAGGAAGAGGAAATAGCAAAAAACCTGCAGGAGAACTTCTTGAACCAAACTCAACAGAATAAAAAAAAAAAAAAAAAAGAATGCAGGATGACCCAGTTAATGGTGATTTCTTATCAGAAATCCGTCCTATTTGCTCTTAGAAGAGGAGGGGTGCGGGGAGTCCTGGGTGGCAGAGGTGGGTGGGAGGGATCAGGAGTGAGTGGAGAGGGAGGGAAAGGGAGCGGGGTGGGCTGGTGGCCAGGGAGCAGTCAGGGGAGGGATGGAGCCAGCGAGGGGCAGGACAGCCAGCGAGGGTGGGACGGACTCCATAGCAGCCCCTCTGTGCTCACCGGAACCTCTCCTGACAGCCCCTCCCTCTCGTCCGACCCTCGGGCAGGCACCTGCTGGGGGCTGCGGGGTCCAGAGCGGGGCAGTGGTCACTAGGTTGTTGCAGAAGTCCTTGTGGCGGCACACATAGGTGTAGGAGAGCACGGAGAGGCCGGGGCCCATCCGGTGCTCAGTGATGCGGGGCTCCTGGTCCTTGGCCTCTGTGCAGCCCTTGGACAGCACCATGCTCACTTGGGGTCCTGGACCGAGAGAGGGAGGCAAGCGAGGATGGAGGTCAGGCCTCCAGGGTCCTGGAGGGAGACGCTGCTACATTGGGTAGGCTGAGAGGCTGGAAAGGGGATCACTGGGACCCTAGGAGTCGCTCCTCCCAGAGGGGTGGCTCCCAAGTCACTGCACAGGGATCGAGGGACTGAGGGAACAGGGCGGGGTCTCTGCACCCCAGGGCCTTCTCACCACTCTCAATGAGCACCATGGTGTCCTGGCACCCCAAGCCGCTGTCACAGCTGATCTCCTTAGGGGTCCAGTGCAGGGGCAACTGGGACACATTCCACACGTCGTGACCTGTCCCAGACTGGCAGAGCAGCGCCTGCACTCCTGGAGTGGCAAGAGCAAATCCATCTCAGCAGGGTTCCCTTGCCCGGCCTACAGGGAGGTCCCCTCTAGGCTAGGGTCATCACTCACCTGGCAGTGGGAAGGTGACCCCCAGGAGGGCCAGCAGCAACACCGGGCTCATGACCCGTCTGTGGCTGATAATCTCTTTCTGCTTTTTCACCAGGAAACAAGTCCTTTATACCAGCCCTTAAGCAGCCAGCCCAGGAAAGGGTGGGGAGGGGAGGGCCTTGCTAAATGGAGGCCTGGGCCCCACCCCAAGTCTCGACTGCCCCACCGGCCTATCAGGGACCCCCTTTCTTCCTCAGACCTTGGGGTCCAGGCCCCCAGCCCATCCTCCCTCAGATGGAGGGTCCAGGACCCCAGCCCCTCAGCCCCTCCTCCTTCAGACCCAGGAGTCCAGGCCCCCAGTCCCTCCTCCCTCAGACCCAGGAGTCCAGGACCCCAGTCCCTCCTCCCTCAGACCCAGGAGTCCCAATCCCCAGGCCCTCCACAATTAGAAACTATGGCATCTTGACCCTAGGGTCCCCCTGGTCCAGACTCCCAGCCCTCTTTCCTCCTCAGGCCAGCTGTGTGGATCGCCACCCCTACCCTGGTTCTCCAGTAGTTCGGGAAGGCAGTTTCCTCATTTCTCATGGGCTCCCTGGCCACGTCTGTACCCCAGATGAGGAAATGACCCAACTACATCTGGGGACGCTGTGCAGTGGCCATAGGCTCGTCCCCCTGTCTTCTGGCTTAGTTTCTACCCTCCACTGGCTTCCCACTTCTCTGTTCTTTCTCTTTCCTTCCCGTATTGCTTTTCTTTTGATTCTCCTTTTCATGCTTTTCTCTCATGCTTTCTCTTCTATTCTCTACCCTCACAGTACAACATAGTCCCCAATTTCCTACCATCAGGAAAGTCCCCAATTTCCTACCATCAGGATAAGACTTGGCCAGAGGTGGAGTGTAGACTGAATATCTATGAAAGAATTAGGATATATTTGAAAAATGCAACATCTATTTGCTGGAAGCCAATGGCAGAGCAGTGGTGTGCTGAAAAACTCACAGAAAAACAATACCCACAAATTCTGCCTCGTAGTGTTAGCCTATTTCTCTGGTGTCAATACTCATAGCATGTCTGATTTTAAGCTACCAACAGTTTACCAACCGGGCTGATGAAATCCCTAGCTATTTAACCATTGGCCTTTCCAGAGCTGTACAAATCAGCTGTAACACACTGGGGAGGAGGAAGACAGGAAGGAACCAGGGTTATCTGTCAGTGACTGCAGAGGGATGTTGGAGTGTCTGTGATGGAGAGAGGAGAAACAGAAGAGGGAAGGCGAGGGCAGGAATAGCAGAGAAAGAGAAATGAATGTAACTTGCAATTATGTGTTTATTTTTGACAGCTCTATAAATTTTATCTTTATTTGTCTTTGCAAGTTTATTGCAAGTTTAATATTTGCCACACAGACAGGGAAGTATTTGTCAAATCTCCTGCTCTGTCTCCACCACCTACATGGCATATAGTACATGTCCAGTAATTTATTTTTTTTTTTTTTTAGAAACAGAGTCTTGCTTTCACCTATGCTGGAGTACAGTGGTGCAATCGTAGCTCACTGCAGCTCCCTACAGCCTCCATCTTCTGGACTCAAGTAACCCTCCCAACTCAGCCTCCCCAGTACCTGGGACTACAGGTGCGCACCACCATGTCTGGCTATTTTTTGTATTTTTTGCAGAGATACGGTCTCACTATGTTGCCTAGGCTGGTCTTGAACTCCTGGGCTCAGGTTATCCTCCCTCCTTGGCCTCCCAAAGTGCTGGAAGTAGAAGCATGAGCCACCAAGCCCCAGCCTCAATAAATATTTATTGAATGAATGCATGCATGAATGAAAAGGGGAACACAACAGCAGAGCCCTCACTCCATTTGTACAGGTTGTGCACCCTACAAATCTTGCCCCCTCCCCAGCGATTCACATTGTCATTGTGTGGATGGTGCCCTGGAACTGTGCATGGCCTAAAGCAGTGTCCCTGATGGAAGAGGGAAGGGAAGGGTGGGCGAAGCGGCAAACAGAGTCATAGGTACTCAATTCAATGTGTTACTTTAACATACATGTGGTCAACAATCATATGAAAAAAAGCTCAACGTCACTGATCGTTAGAGAAATACAAATCAAAACCACAATGAAATACAGCCTCACACCAGTCGGAATGACTATTATTAAAAAGTCAAAAAGTTACGCATGCTGGGAGAAAAAGGAACACTTAGACATTGTTGCTGGAAGTGTATATTAGTTCATCCATTGTGGAAGACAGTGTGGCAATTCCTCAAAGACCTGAAAACAGAAATACCACTTGACCGAGCAATCTTATTAATGGGTATATACCCAAAGGAATATAAATCATTCTATTATAAAGATGCATGCATATGTATGTCCATTGCACCACTATTCACAATAGCAAAGACATGGAATCAATAGAAATGCCCATCAATGGCAGATTGGATAAAGAGAATGTGGTACATATACACCATGGAATACTACGCAGCCATAAAAAAGAATGAGATCATATACTTGGCAGGAACACGAATGCAGCTGGAAGCCATTGTCTTTTTCTGACTAACACAGCCACAGAAAACCAAATACCACATGTCCTCACTTATAAGTGGAAGCTAAATGATGAGAACACGTGGACACATAGAGGGGAACACCACACCCTGAAGCCTATCAGAGGGTGGAGGGTGGGAGGAGGAGGAGGAGGGAGAGGATCAGGAAAAGTAACTACTGGGTACTAGGCTTACTACCTGAGGGATGAAATAATCTGTGCAACAAGCCCCCATGGCACAAGTTTGCCTATATATTAATAACAAACCTGCACACGTACTTCTGAACTAAAATAAAAGTTAAATTTCAAAGAGAGTCTTGCTTTAATCAACAAATGTTTACTGAAGCTGGAATATGTGCTAGACACCATCCTAGTGGCTGGGGATACAGAGACGCAAAGAAGGAGGAGGCCGCTGCTTTTTGTCAAGCTCACAGCCTATGAAGGGGCAGACTCTAAACCAACACAGAAGCATGAAAAATATTAGGTGGTTCAGGGTGCTGGGTAGAGAGTGAAAACCTGGTGAGGTGAAAGTAGACAACTGAACTGGCTGCTTTGGCTAGTAGGAAATCAGTGAGGGCCTTCCTGAGGAGGTGGCATTTAGCTGTGAGCAGAATGGGAAAAAAAAAAGAGCCAGCCCTGGAAGGACATGCAGAAAGAGCATTCCAGGCAGGGGAGGAGCAGGTGCAAAGTCCATGAGGTGAGATCCAGCTTGGTTTAGGTAAGAATTAGAAAGAGATGCCAGGCCTGGGCGTGGTGGCTCACACCTGTAATCCCAGCACTTTGTGAGGCTGAGGTGGCTGGATCACTTGAGCTCAGAAGCTCAAGACCAGCCTAGGCAACATGGTGAAACCCCATCTCTACCAAAAATACAAAAAATTAGTGAGGCCTGGTGGCATGTGTCTGTAGTCCCAGCTACGCAGGAGGCTGAGGTGAGAGGATCACTTGAACCTGGGAGTCAGAGGTTGCAATGAGCCAAGATCATACCACT